CGATGTTTACCCTGGATCACGAACGCCAGGCTTTAGCGGGAGCTGCTGGGTTGGGGGATCCCCTCGTCGCTGCCCCCTGCGCCTGCCACCCCTCAGAGCCCACAGCATCCGAGCACAGAGCCTCGGAAGGTAGAGAGGGAGTGGACACCCAGGTCCGCAGCACCGGAGGCCACCGGCCCGGAGCAGAAGGTAGAGCTTCTGCTCTGCAAGTACCCGAGGCGTCCATGCTGCCGGGCAACGCTCCCCAAAGCCACCCCCAAAAGATGTCACCGGGACTCCGGTCAGAGCACACGCTGTCCTCACATGGACGAGAAGCTTGCTCGTGCCAGGTGGGGTTGGAAGGAAGCGAGCACGGATCACACCAGCGTTTCAGAGCTCTTCAGGACTTGACAGCACACCAAGCCCCGGCCAAAGCAAGCAGCTATTACTATCATTATTTCAGTCTTCCAGGCTACTCGGTTCAAGAGACTTCAGCATGGCGGGAGTGACAGGCAGGCAGATTGGCAATCTTGGCACTGCTCAGCCTGGAACACAAGACCAGGACAGTGTTTGTGACCAAAATGCCAGAGAAAAGGGGCACGGCTTTCCCACGGAGACTTGGAGGAAGCGGAGGAGCACCTTCACTGGGGAAGCAGGGGGGCGAAATTCTCCCTCTTGCCCCAAGTCTAGCTAAACTTCCCTGCTCCGGGGTGGCTTTTTTCCTTCCCCTTTCAGATCTATCACTTTGGAGGAGTACTGCCTGGGTATCCTCTCACAAGAGGGTAAAAAAATGCAAGACTTGATCATTTCTCAATATCTTAAATTCAAATTTAATCCAATATTTTTAATATAAAGTTCAATATAAAAAAGGCTCCAGCCACAACAGCATATCTCACTCATTTAAGACCAAGACACATGTACAACAGTCCCACCCACCAGGATTTCTCCCAGAGAGATTCTCCATTCCAGCTGGACAGGGTTTCCAGCGCGGCAACCCCAACCATTGAAGGATAAGAACTCCGACTGTCCCAGCTCGGCACAACGGCAGCACCACTGGTCTCTTCTCTGAGGAAAAGAGTAGTCAAAGCCAATCCCTCTGGATGCAGGAGAGCTGGAGCTAAGCTGCCCACCCCGAGGACAACGGAGTGGGAGGAGGATCGATCAGCTGGTCAAATCCTGAGCGGAGGCGAGGGCTGACTGCAGAGCTGAGCAGCGACTCTGTAACACCCCCGCACCGCTCAGTGGGTTTGCACGGCCTCTCTGGAGAGGCTTCGGGGCATCTGCTGATCTCAAGGGTCTTTTCCAACCTACAAGGTTCTACGATTCTTCTCAGGAGAAGCTGGAGGAGGTGGCAGCAGACAGGGTTTCAGGTAGCAGAGACGGCGGCTCGCAGGCAAGCCTCCTGCCCGGCTATCAGCAGGGGCAGAGAGAGAAGAGGCAGAGACAAGGAGAGGAACCAACAGTGCAACACTGACTGCTGGGGCACAGCGGACCACAGCAGCAAAGCCAAGTGGAGTGTCACCCGTCCCGGCACAGGCAGTGCTTTGTCCAGGTGTGGATGGTGGGAGGTCAAGGTGAAAAAACTGGGGGAGCCCACACCTCCTCACCACCTTCTCTCCGCAGGGATGGAGCCTGTGACGGCAGCAGAACCTAAACAGAGTCTATCCAGCAAGCTCTGGAGCCACCGGGATGACGCTCCTCTGCCGGTACCTCTGGAGCAAGCCCTACCCACTCTCCTGCTAACAGAAACCCTTGCACGGTCTCCCAAGCCCCAGCTGAGCATGAAAAGGCACCTTTTTCCAATTTGGGGTCATTTATTTATAGATTTAAAGAAATAAAAATAGGAAAAGGAGGCGAAGAGTGCACACTGAAGAAAAAAAAAGTTGACTGCAAAACAGAGAGAGCAGAAGGCGGGGGCGGGAGGGGGTCCCTCTGCCAAGCCAGCAGCTTTTGAGGGAGAGGGATCACTCCTCCTGTGGGCACAGCCACCGCGGGCAGCGGGGCTCTCCCTTCAAAACCCACCAAATTCGTTCTCACAGTATCCTACGTAGAGAGGTTGTGCCTGGACACCACGCCTGGAAAGAGAGCGGAGAGGCGGCGTTACGCGGAGGGCAGGGGCAGAGCCTACGGTCAGGTCTGAGCAGCAAGAGCAGTGCAGGCTGGCCTTCGGTGCCGCTTCAGGTGCGACAAGGAGGGAGCGGTTTCCATCCTGCATTTGGTTTTTAGCTCACGTGTGGGAGCATGGGGTAAGGGCAGGCTTCCTGGGGAAGCTGGCGCTGCAGGAGGGGTGGCAATAGCTGACGGGTCCCCCTCCCTCAGCACGAAGCCCTCTCCTCGGCAGAGCCGCCAGCCCACGCCGGCAGCAGGGGCTCTCTTCCAGCACTGCACAAAGCAAGCTCTGCCCACACACAGGCAGGAGGAAGGCTCGCGATTCTCAGTAAGAACAAGGGTCACTTTGCACCAGGGAAAGCCCTCTTCACCCTCAGTGCCCTCCCCAGGACTGAACGCCAGGAAGGGCGGCATTTGCATCCAGCTGCCAGGAGAAATGGTTACCCAAGAAGCTTGCAGCGGAAGTCAGCCAGCCGCACGTAGGCATCTTGCATGTCCCTGACGGTCGCATTGCTCCACAGTCTCTCTGCTACGGCCCCAGCTCTTGGCCTTGGAGGAACGAGGGACAGAGGCAGTCAGGTCAGGGGGGAGTTTGAAAGCTTCTCGCAAAAAGCCTTGATCTCCTGCTTTCCCCGACCAAGGTTCTTCAGCACACAAAGGCACGTGGCTTTTGTACAGCAGAAGACCCACCCCTGGCCACACGCGGATCAGGACGTACCGGGGTGACTGGACAGAGACCAGTGTTGAACGGGCACTGGTTGCAGCACCAGGTTGTCCAGGAGCATGTTACAGTCTCGCAAACCCTCATTTAAGCCTCAGTGACACTGTTACAAGCATCCAGGAGCTGCCACGGGACAGGGACAAGCCCCATGTGCAGACCCAACCCACGGCATCTGGCATGCGTCGCTCAGTGGTGAAGGAAAGGGGCCCGAGCCCTGCCCCACGCGACTCGAGGTAACCGCCCCATGGCTTCTCTTACCAGAGCCTGGGGGTCAGGTTAGTGACATCCACATATTCACCCCACATGCAGGCCTCTCCGCCTATCACCCGATCCTTCTGCTCAGGGGTGCCTGCCAGGGGACAAAGCACTCAGGTGATGGGGTGTTGGAAGATAAGGGGGTGACTTTTCACCCTGCCCACAGGGGCACCTGTCACAGCAGTGAGTGGCTCAGCTACGGAGGCAATAATTTGCCCTTCTGGAAGCCACTGCTTCAAAGCCCAGGCTAGGGCAGAGCAGAGGTGTTTTCTGCTGGCATCAAGGGAACCGCACACAGCGCAGGAACCAAGGACACGGTCACTCAAGCACCTTCACACCAGC